CCTTACCCCCCCCCCCCCCCCACACACACTTGTACATAACAAATTTCTGCCTCCGCCACTCTAGAGTGGCAGGATTGATAGCAATAATTATTTCTATTGAGGGGGTCTATCTATATTTAGACACCCCCTCCACCCGCCCCCTTCCACCACCTCCATTTTTATTCTTCAATTGACGTCATAACAAGATTAAACTAAGCCAGGGGTCGGCAACCTTTTGAAGCGGAGGAGCCAAAAGTTATAATTTTCCAAATTTTCCTGGTTTTAAAGAGCCACTAACATTTTTTTTATTTCAAATATTTTATTTTTTTATTAAGATTATTAGTATTAGTTCAAGGAGCTGGAGAGCCGCATCTTGATATCAAAAGAGCCGCATGCGGCTCGCGAGCCGCAGGTTGCCGACCCCTGAACTAAGCACGTAAAGAGACTTGAGATACTGCCTGGTTCCAGCCTGTGGTATATTTTCTTTAAATAGAAACAAATATTGCCCCACTGACCTAGTCAAAAGTTACGTCAATGTGTTTACATTCCCATGTGTACTTTGTCTTAAAGGGTTCAATAGGTTAGTGTGTCGGGGTCTACTCGACACTAGAACGTAGTAATGGTACATCCAGGAACATTTTTTTAAAACTTAAACATGTGTTCAATAGGACAAAAAACAATGACGGTAATATTGAGCAGGGAATGAAATAGGCCAGAGATCTGAAGCGAACAGAAGAGAAAGAAGAAAACTCGTTATAACATACATTTTTAACAATAAAGGCAAGCAGTTAATATACTGGTACATAGAGATTGATTTCTGCGAGATGCCATATTTCAAAATAATCCATGATCGACCTGTCTGTTAGAAGCTGTAATCCCATATGTTAGTTTATAAGTCTTCATGAGGGTATCCGACAAAATGCCGACACGGACAAAAGGCCGACACGGACAAAAGGGCGGCAAGACAAAAGGTCGATTGGAAATAAGGCTGACATCTAAAAGGCCGAAATCCAAAACCAATTGCCCTAAGCTGTTGATTTTATATGAATGCTAGAGAGTAAGTTGAATGGGTCGTTTTGACGTAGCTAAGTTGGGTCACTGGTGTGTTAGGAGCGTCAGATTTATGTTGGCTTTTTTTTTTCGTGCGGGAGGGAGGGGTCTGCTTGGGGGACGTCACATTCCTAGGATTTATGTCACTCGAACTTTGTGGCGATGTGGGACAATTATTTTGTATTTTTAAAATCTTTACCAATACACATTTTTGTCTGAGATCAATTCATATTTCAGAAAGAAAATGCTTTTTAAAAACTCAAAATTGAAGATAGTGGGAGTAAGGCTGTATTATCGCGTCATTTAGAGGAGGTCTGGCAGTGTGTATGTCTGAACTTGGGAGAGGAGAGTGGGGGGGGGGGGGGGGGACGTCAAGAAGCGTGGCGTTATTTATGGATGATTTTTTTTTAAATATAAAATTTGTTTTCATTTCCCGCGTTACGCTACGAGATGTTATACCCCACCACCACCCCACTTCTTTAAATAATCTAACACAATAGTCTTTACAAGACAAACACAAAACGAGAGAGAGTAGGCCTAAGAATAATAGCGGGCTTGAGAAAGACACATGTGTAGTGTGGGTGTTTTCCAATGTTTGAACCAGAGCTAGACAGTAATGAGTTTTTTTCACTATTTGACCTACTGACCCAGTCATGAGAGGTCAAGGGTAATCTACGCCGCTTGTTTGTAAATACGTACCACTAGCTTGGTCTATTTATATAACATACTCACTAGTTTTTGACATTACTTTAACTTTTTTTTTTTAATTATTAAAAATGATTGAATTATCCATGCAAAAGCTTTTGCTGTTTATTGATTGAATCGTCTATTTTAGGGTAAAGGAAAGATTTTTTTTTTTCTTGACATGTCTACACGTCTAAATGTAGAAGTTGGTTCATTGGGTTAGTAGGGTACAGGGTTACCAAGGCAAGGGCGGAGACATGAAGAATGGGTCGTGGAGACGAACGCTTCAGTTTATGAACGTCTCAGTTTTGCTAGCTGCCTGTGTAGTTTAAAATTCTCACAAGAGCAAATAGCTCATGAATATTCACTACTCTAATAACAGTTACGTGATACAATATAACCAGTGTAAGCATCAAATAAACCTATGTGTGAGTATTTTTTACCCCCCTCCCACCCCAATTTCCACAAAACAAATTTCTGCCCCTGACCGATAGCATTGAGAGATACAATTATTTCGATGGAGGGGGTCTTGCTATATTTAATTACCATTCCTCGCGAAAACATGTAGTGTCGTGATAAACCAACCCGAGTCGATTCCAAATTATTCCAATTGAAACCTCTGTGTCATGAGTGTGTAGTGTGCTTGTAAGGGCCGTCCATTCAGAATTTCATTACGTCAGCTGCCAAACCCCTGCTTTCTCTGTGATTTGTCTGGCGGCCGACGTCACGATACATCACAGGAAGCGTTTCATGGCGTATTTCGAGGGGGAAAAAATCCCGACATGCGCAACGTCATTCAAGGGGAATATACCTCCCCCGAAACAAATTTACTGCCCCCCCCCCCATCTCCCACCAAACAAAATAGAAGGTATATAGATCATTTAAACATTTACTACTGTCCGCTTACCCCCCCCCCCCCCCTTCGCGGCAACCTGGAAAATTTATGTTAGAAGGATTGTAATCTTAACATAGACGTAGCGAAGGTGGGGCGGGTGGGTACAAATGTCACTGGGCGCCGACCATTGGAGCGCTAAAACGGGTTGAAATTTTTTTTAAAGCTCATTTTAGCTGCAGTTTTGAATTATAAACATAAAAATATATGGAGGGGGGAAGGGGGAGAAATTGAATGTTGTCCCCGGGCGGCGGGAGTGGGGTTTGAGGTGTTAAGGTGTTTGTTGGTGGGGTTTTGGGTGTTCAGAGTGTTCCGCGAAGGGTAGGTGACAGGTAGAACACACCTTTTATTTTACACTTTGTGAGGATTAATTAAATCACAAAAAGAAGTCTCACTACTACGCAAAGGTGTGTTTGCTTACTCGTTGTTTTCCTATATTCGTCTGGTGAGACCTCTCTACTCCTTGTGGAGAACAGGGCAACAACCATTTTCTTCCTTTATATTATCTTACAATAACAAGATCAGGTCTACTTTACATAAAAGTCAAATAATTTTTAAAAATTAAGTTACAATCAAGGCTACCGTAGTCGACCCTCCACTTAACGCCGGGTCGACTTACATATTTTCCAATACAATGTTTTAAAACTGTTGAACCATACATAGAAAGCTCATCCGTCGCCGTCTCCCGCTCACAAACAAACCAGTATTTACAGTAGGCGTACAGACGTGTAGACGTGTAGACGTATAGCCATAGCCATAGCCATAGCCATAGTCATAGTCATAGTCATAGTCATAGTCATAGCCACAGCCGTAGCCATAGACATTGCACATTGGACATTAGGCATTAGGCAATAGGCATTAGGCATTAGGCATTAGGCATTAGGCATTAGGCATTAGGCATTAGGCATTAGGCATTAGGCATTAGGCATTAGACATTAGACATTAGACATTAGACTCAGACACAGACACAGACACAGACACAGACACAGACACAGGCACAGACACAGACACAGACACAGACACAGACGTAGACGTAGACGTAGACGTAGACGTAGACGTAGACGTAGACGTAGACGTAGACGTAGACGTAGACGTAGACGTAGACGTAGACGTAGACGTAGACGTAGACGTAGACGTAGACGTAGACGTAGACGTAGACGTAGACGTAGACGTAGACGTAGACGTAGACGTAGACGTAGACATAGACGTAGACGTAGACATAGACATAGACATAGACATAGACATAGACATAGACATAGACATAGACATAGACATAGACATAGACATAGACATAGACATAGACATAGACATAGACATAGACATAGACATAGACATAGACATAGACATAGACATAGACATAGACATAGACATAGACATAGACATAGACATAGACATAGACATAGACATAGACATAGACATAGACATAGACATAGACATAGACATAGTAGTAACTGAAGCAATGAACATGAAAGAGATTTTTTTTATTAACAAATACTTTATTTTTTAAAAAATGTGTTTCTCCAATTGAATTGAATAGAATGAGATCACATGATGTGGTAAATAACAATTGAGTTAACAATATCAGAATAAATGTATCACAAATGAACAGTCACAAAATATATTATGGGATGAATTACACAACTGTGGAGTTACAACTTCCAGGGATGATTATCATATTGCGAAATTTTAAAAATAAATATTTTATCACAGTTTGCTTATTATACGTAACAAAATAATAAAATCGTTCGGAACTGACTGCTGCGGAGCTCGAGGCTTTCAGGTTGTCGGTCAAGAGCTCCACTGTCTAGAGATGCCGTCATTGTTATAACACTAAAGGTTCAATAAATTAGCTGCTCTTACAATATTGGTATCGAACACCAGTTGTTTAAGATTAAATAAAGTAGAAAACAATAAAAATTCAATATAAGGGAAACAACCAATAGTTCATTCACAAGAAGTTACCAAGCTCCATCCACTCCACAACAAAGTTAGGTAACCCGTATTGCTGTTTTGAAATAAGTTCAAGTGATCACTGGATAGGCAAGAGGTGAGACGGATCACTATCAGCTGACCTTGGCGTCAGAAGTACGCGACATGCACACGACTTCGCGTTTATTCAGAACAATTTAACATCTCCGTTCAGTAATCGTTGGTGTAGCTATCAATTTCCCACCAAGGCGATCGTAAACACAGTTAGAAAATGTTAGCCAGAGTCAGCTCACCCATCAGCTAGACACTTGATGCAAGTGTTTTAGTGTAATTTTGGGATCTAAAATCAAACGATCAGTGGTAAACCTGAGTTAAATCTTTTCTCATTAACACACAACACGTATGTTTATTTACACATATGGAAGATGCTTATGTACTCAGCCTTCGAATTTAAACATCCCCTCCTTCTGGTCCTATATAGTATTCTGCCTATGAAGCTGCTATGTTAAGAAGTAACCCTTGTGCCATGAATGGCCTGCTGACATCTGGCACATTTTGTCATTAGCGGTTGGCAGTTGACACAGTTACACAGACAGTTGCAGGGCAGGTTGATAACCTGTATAGGTCTCTGCAGGCAGGTCAAGCATAGACCTCTCCCTGAAACCAAATGTTACATTAGATGTTACAATGATGAAAGAAACACCGTCGGCTCTATATTGTTGCTAGGCGCTGTACAATTACAAATTTATAAAAATGTAAGAACCAATAAATAAGTTTGCCATAGGATTTAAGAAAATGTCCCTATGTGAAAACACGTTATTTGCTGACTATAAATATAAATTTACCTGTCCATGAATATTCTGATCTGGCAGCGCCGCTGTCTCTGACAGCACTGACTCTCTCATTGACAAAAATGTCACCCTCATTAACAGCACGGCCAGTGTCACTGACAGCAGCACCATTGCCATCCCTGACACGTGCACTGCCATCTGTCACGTCGTACCGCATAGGTGGGCTGACACCAACACGTTGACCTGCATGACGTGTGACGCCCTGGGGCTGTTGGGTCAAGATAAGGCGAGCTTTAGTAGGTGATTCAGTTTTGTTAATTATAATTAACGTAATAATGATTGGACTCGGTGTAGTCATACCTGAAAGCTGGTAGCCATTTCTTCCTGTCTAATTCTCGCGATAGAATTGACTTTTTCTAGATGACTAGACGCGAAATGTCTGAGCATTTCACGTCTGTTTGTCACAGATTCAAGAGGCATATCTCGCTGTAGTAGGAAGCCAGGCAATCTATTGATTCTCAGCTAACACGCGGTAAACTACAATACAATTTGAAAACGGTGTTGCCATAAATAATTATATACATGCACACGTACATAGGTATGGATCAATGGAGATAGTAAAGACCACACACTCACTATGATTAGCATGAATTCTACTTATTAAATTGTTGCTATGGATACCTCAAATTCACTAGCAAACCACTATCAGATGTTCACATAACACGTTTATCCCATTTGCCGGTGTTACAGATACCGATTACCTATCTTTCACACCTAATGGAACACCTAATGAAAATGAAGTCCTACAAAACATATTTTAAAAGTATAAAACTAAGAATCACTCACCAAAGAAGATGGCAATCTGAAGTGACGAAAAGGCAATTTGAAGTCACGGAAACAATTTTTCTTTTAACTAAGAGCGGTCACTAACACGTCCAGCTTGCCAAGACTCCTTTATAGGCTTTGCTAATAAACATTTCCCTTTATATACAACTACAACTTCAGAGTTAGAATTCCCGAAAATGGGTTTTCCCCAGTTATGTTTTATTAAAACTAGTTCATCCTTTAACATTAGATAATAACTAGTTTGAGTGTATAATTGGCTTATAAATAGTTTGGGTGCATAACGTTCTAATAGGAATGTAACTTATAGATCCATGTTGAAAGTTTAAAAAAACTGGAAGTGTTAAACAATTTTTTAGAAAGTGTGTTTTTAATAGATCAAAAAAATATAGTAGGATCGGGAAATTTCGGAAAAAAAAAAACCCCAACAAAGATAGAAGGGAGACAACTAAAATAATAATCTAGTCGTCTTTTCTGCAAGTTATTTCCCTTACACCTGAAGAAGTAAATATGAAAGGACCGTAACTGACTTTCCTCGAGGTTATGAAATCAAATAAGAGTTAAATTTAGAATAAGATCTTGCTTATGAGTGTGGATTAGGATTTTCTATATTTTATATATATTTAAATTAGCATTGATGCCGCTTCAAGGATAACCACAGCTTTAGCCCGATCTGTTTAAAGCGTAAACTTTTATAACCGCACCCATATTTTTTGGACTTCTCTTAGCCTAGGTGAGTGCCGGAAAAAGATGGTTTCTTCTTGTCGAAGTGTTTGTTCAATTAAGCATCTTTAAATTATACCTGATGGATGTGGGCCGGCAATCACAGTTCCCAACTGGACTGGACTATTCTCTGAACCTTAGTATAGGCAAATCATTTGATTGAGTACAGTGGCGTCGCTAGGTCAGGTGTCTCTCACCCGATACGGCACTTCGTGGTTCCCCAAGAAACAATATATATATATATATATATATATATATATATATATATATATATATATATATATATATATATATATATATATATATATATATATATATATATATATATGTTTGTATGTGTGTGTGTGAGTGTGTCGACCTACAGAGGCCTATACTTTAAATATATGCCGCATACACATACATGTACGTGTATAACCTTTAATAACTGCAGACTTAAGAATAGTTAGCTTGTTTACGTCATGGTGTCACCCCTATTTGTAACCCGATTTGTACTTAATAGACCATTCATTTAACTTTCATCAATTATTAATGGAAGTGGCAAAAAGCATTGTTTTTCGGCACATTTTGCCATTTTTTGCCATGGTGTCACCCCTCTAAATGTTGTCACCCGGTGCGGTCTGCACCCCCGCCCCACCCTCGCTACGCCTCTGAGTGTTAGCCTCAAGTTTGCAATACAATATGGTAACACAATAACTTGAGAACCTTTTCAGTTTGCTTTGAGAACAGAAAGTAGTGCCTACTCTACTTCCGGTTTCTCAAAAGTCGATTATTTAAGTAACGTTGATGTAAGTTTGACAAAATTGAACACATAAATATTACATTGTATGCGCTGACGTTTACAAATTTGAATCTATTTTTGTAACTGGAACTGGTATTTCACTCTATGTACGTGGGAACGCTATAACGTGAGTCTTCTGTTTTAATTAGTGAGACGACATTTTATATATAAGTTCTTAGATCTTTACTTTGTGTGCTTTAAATTTTTGATTGACCGCCGATATCCAAAAGTGGTACTTTATTTCTGGTTTCTCGATAGGATCAATTATTTGATATTGCTACCGTACGTATAACTGCAGATATCAACTTTATCAGTTAAATGACTCCTAACAATAGCAAACATCATAATGTACTGTATTCATGGGCAGGGATGGGAACGTTGTGGATGTTGGCCAAGTATTTCGATGCACGTAGCTGGTGAAACTTCTGTCTTAAGAATTTGTTTAGATGCAGGAGATTTAATGCATGAATTACAGGTGAGATAATACGAGAAGGATACTGCAAAGTCCGCCATTCTGTTATGGAATATAAGGACGAACACAACTGTGATGGTAAGGAACATACCTGCGACAAGGAACATTGTGATGTGATAGGGTTATCGTGTTTCTATTTCGATTACTGAAGTCAGTATCGTTTCCTAACAATTAAATACATTTTTTTTAAACAAACACATTTTATAAACAATACGTTTTCATTTTAATTAAATATTTTAGTCAAACCACTCAATACTGATAGCAAACTACATACAGTTATAAACATAGTTATAAAAAACATATAAAAATTTAGCCCAACTATATTCATGTTGACAGGCTACTTATTTAAACAGCCGTACTAAACTTTAAAAAAAATACTTTAGTCTAGCTCTTCATGGACGTTGATGTCTGAGTGCAAAGGATAGGCGAGACTTTTCAGTTCTTTTCTTTCCGGGGGCACAAATATCTGTTTGATACATACAATATGTAACATTCAGATAAAATATATTTTTAGAATATTTTATAACAGATACGTAGTGGAGACCACACACAGTCAAAGACCTTAAAACAAAATGTAGCAAACGTTAAAAGCTGGTCACAGAGACCTTACCCTAAAGTTGATCCCGAGAAGGGGCGGACGTGGTTGCTTTGGAAAGGCATGTCTTGCACCATCTGCACTCATCTCTCGAAATTCAAAATGTGTTTTGTTTAGAAGGTCGCAAGGCGATACTTTAAAAGTAAAAAGATTTGAATTTTTTTAAACATGTACATTCCTATAAATAAGAGTGAATTTCCTAGCTTTAGCTCTGACTAACAGCTACTAGATAGTCACGGAAGACAAGATTTAGATATCAATTATTAATGTACAATTTGTACATATTGAAGGAAGTCCTACATTAAACGTAATAATTACTTACGAAGGATTTCGGCAATATAATGTTACGGAATCAAATTCGAAGAATGGCCACTGGCACGTAGGCTATAGCGTGACAATGCTGTGAAGTTTAGGAATGACATCAGCCGTTGGTTTGTAAAGTCCCGCTGATATTAAACCTATGATAAAATCTAAATCCGTCACACACGTGTTATTAAAATGTTTTCTAGCTCATACCTATATATATAATTCTCTTCTGGGAGACGCTAGAAAACAAGCTGTAAACGCGCTCCCTACCATCCCCACCCCTACATGGTCTTAGTGAGCTGTGGTTCACGCTATGTTTACCTTCGTGGAGTCGGGTTTAGTGACGGCTAATAGGGGCAGATAATTTAGTTTGAAACGATTTTAAACGTTGGGGTGGGGGGGAGGAAGGGGGGGGGGAAGGAAGGGGGGGGGGGGTATGGTCCTTAACGAGCTACTTATAGTGTTTTAAAGAAATATTTTCAGTGTCAGCGTTGGTACTGTCGTATTCACAAATTATGAATTTCTGAAAAGTAGAAAAAACAAGAACTAAATAGCGGCGTATGTTATGCCGCGGGCCGGCTCGTTTTATCTAATGCCCCTTTTTCCGGCTTGACCATATTTTTTGAATGACATTGAGTCACGCTACACTTACCACTTGACGACAGCGGGACAGAGGTGACAAACTGTCTACCCTCGGGTGGCTGTAGGCGACAGCATGGAGTGAGAGGCTTTAAGCCCTGAATCACTATGTCAAAATATGTCGAATTAAAAAAAAAACTACTAGAAGCCAGAACAACCCCGTCTCCTGGAATTATCAATACTTTTGACTACTTAATAGTAGTTTTCACTTCCGTGACCCTCTATCTTTTTTTCCGTGTACAAAGAAAGAATTGTGAACGAAAAATAGAAGGCAGAAAAATATAAATGCCAGCATTGAAATTCACGTATTTTAATTTTTAAAAATGTTGCTATTTCTGCTTCCAGATTGTCTATGTAATTAATTATTTTGTTTCTCTTTACTCAGTGCAGAATTTACGTATAAACTAGGCATGCTATAGCTTAAAGGCTATACTTTCTAGGGCTCATAGTCCAAGTGAGCAACGCCACTACATAATAAAATAAACTGCGATACTATTTTAACAAAGCCGAACATCCGGAACGGGCAAGCTGTTCGCCCAATTTTCCACAGCTTTTTTTGAGGAACCATAGACCATAGCGCTATTATGTTTAAAATCGCTACTAAAAATCGTGTTATCTTTGTATTTATTATGGAATACAATAAGATTAAGATTAACTTTTAATTATTAGTTTAACATTTAATTATGTTATAAATTTCAGTGTTGTCTTCAGAATCGAATGTAGATATAAATGGAGAGTTTGAGCAAATCGCTGCACAAGAAGTAGGTCAAAATGGAGTTTACAATTTGCCACAAACCCAAGGAAAGACAGACAGACAGACAGACAATATAAGCAAAACTAAAACTATAACATATTCATGTACAGACAATTTTTATTTAACCAGTAGCACTAAATCAAAGACAATATTATTTAAAAATACAAAACTCCAGTCAGGTCTATATTTTCTGGGGAAAATGATAATTTAAGCATTCTTCAAAGTTAGACAGTGCAATATTAGATTTAAAGCGCTCTATTATTGGAGATAATAGTAGAGAGGAGGATTCCTCGAAGCTATGCATTACAACCCTCATTTTATCTCCGGTTCGTTTTTTTGTTAGTGTTTTTTAGTAAGACACCGCCCCATATAAACTTCACGGCGCCATATACCAACCACAAACCGGTGGCTCTGTCAAACAAATACTGCACTGTCTGCCAATATGATGCACATCATTTGGCCCAAAAATTGTACATTTTTGTTATGAATGTTAATTACAAAAATAAAATACATGTCGATACACATATTTTAAACGAACAAGCCACATTATACTTTAACTCTTCATCGTATATCACAATTCACTTTATATACAAATCAAACAGCTAGTTGTTAGCAGTTGGGCCTACAGAAAAAAAACATCCTTTTTTTCAATAAATATCACGCTAAATTAAATAGGTTAAAAATAAGGTTAGGATCCAAATACTATCACAGTGAATGTTATTAATTATGAAGCAAAATATACAAACGTACTGTTTTTAATAAATTGTCGGCCTATATTTTTTGTAAAGACCTATTTGATTCTTACAAATGTGTTGCCTTTACAATAAAAATATTTATACAGTTACTTGCAATGCTTAAATTTATAAAACATGAAATTATCTTAATTATAAGTAGGCCTATCGACTCATATATAACGATCAAAACTGCTGGCTGTCTGCTTGTTGTGGACCTGTAGGTACAGTGACATAAAAATATTTAGTAGGTTAAGTAATTTATTTCGTAACGTTGTAAATATGGAAGCAAGAAAAATAATTTCATCAATAGTTTAAGCCGGCCTTAACAGAAAGCTTAAATAAAATCCCCAACTACTCCCAAACTCGCACTAAACATTAAAGTAGCCCATGTAGCTCTTTATCCATAATCTACGGCAAGCTCACCGTCACTAACCCGAGGTGAAATAAACTCACCAGCCTGACCTCGCCTCTGTTGGTGAAAGCCCCCGAGGTCTATGGGGATGTCGTGGACGTTGATGTCTGAGGGCAGTGGGTAGCCCAGGCCATCCGGATCTTTCTGTTCTCCCTGCTCATATATCTGTGTGGTTCAATGCAACAAATGACATTTGAATTTAAACTATTCAAGTTTATATTAGCGGTGTAGAGGAGACCACACGTGAGTAAACATTCTCAAATGACAACAATACAATAATACCAAGATTAACCCATTAGTCACAGTGATTTTACCCTTATGATAATCCCGAGGGCGTTCGGATTTGGTGCTCTGGGAGGTGCATTTTGTTCAACTTCTGCATTCATCTTTTGATACCGATGCTAAATATATAGAGATTGTATATACATGTAGGCTCATTTTGCTAATAATGTGGCAAGGCAGTAGCTTTAAAAAAAAAATTAAAAAACAAATCAGTAAAACTCGGTAAAACATGCTAAATTGACCAGTAGTAAGTGAAGTAATAGGCCTATTTCCCGACGACTAGTAAACATTTCCCGAATGCTAGTAAAAGGTGCAATGGCGCTGGTATTGAACACTACTTTCATGAGCTACTACTACCAATGGCTGGCTAGTAAAAAATGTTCAAGTTTTGCACTACTGCAGCAAATATGGCCAATACCGTTGTACCTTTTACGTTTTAGGCTAGATAGGTCGGCTACACAGACATATTCATGAATTCGTACATGACTTTCCATGGATTACAAAACCTCGCAATTTTATTTAATCATATGCTCTACTACACGTTTTACACCTAAATGAACAAATAGGTTTATAATAGTATTGACTGTAAGATCTGGTTAAATGGTGCGGGGTGAAAATTGCTGTGATCTGTTCTAGTTGTTTATGTATTTCCATTGAAGTACTAAATTAATGACACGTTTTGTGTGTTTTGATAAAAAAGTAATGATCGTAGAGTTCAGTCTCCCCAATCATTTCGTATTTCCTAAGGACCACACATATACGAATCTTCTAACGCTGACTAGGACGTGACTCATCAGTTCTATATTTAGAACAATAATTGTAATGGCTTACCAAGCAAAACAAAACAGTTTCCGTTACTATAAAGAGAAAAATTACGTGAAGTGCTAAATTTATCTTGAAAGCAGAGATATAAGTTTTAAACGACTTACTATCGGTTATTGTACTCCTGAGATAATTTAAAAGAACTACAACTGCTTAGTTAATGTAACTGTCATTTTATATTTTAACAGTAAACTGCGACTAATTTTTTTCGAAATGACAATTTACTAGGCTTATATTTAGATTTTAGATTACAATCATGTAAAAATAATGTAAACCTACGGGATAAGGCACTAATTTAGTAAGGTTCCACTTGAAATTGATTACTATTATGTAGTTCTAGTTAAAGAGGGGCCTACACATTTTGTAAGACTGATGTTTCGGTCTAATTTTTCACTCAGGATGTTGAAAAAATGTGCTGTTTACTAAATCAGTTCGTAAACATATAAATACATTTGGCTGGTCGATAAACAGTTGTTAAACACAAACAATGCTTATGTTATAATAAAAATAATTGTTTAAAGACATTTATCTCTTTAATTTCAACATGGATAAACACACAAAAGTTGTGTAATAATTCTTTGAGGTTGTGTGATATAAAAATACGATTTTATAATGATATATCTAAGATATTTAGCTGTTATTTTCTGTAAATTTATAACAAGTTAACATGTTTATAGCTCTGGATTATTTGCTGAAGTCTTTTTCATTAGCAAAGATATAATGTGGCAAAGTGATCGATTGTTTTTAATTTAGAAAAATCCAAGGTTTTTGTTATAATTTTGTCTATAATTTATGGAGAGTACGAGAACATGAAAGAACAGATACCCACGTGTGTGAGGGATATGTAATCTGTATACAAGATGAACATTACTAGATATAAGCTGAACAATATTAACAGACATTCTTCTTTGCAAGTCAATGAAAGGTAAAATATATAAGGGATGTAATCCGGAATGGTTTCTTTTGCAGAGCAATTTCGCGGTTACCTATTAATGGCAACTACCTCTAGTCTACCTGGGGTATCTAATAATGTGTTAACCGCTTTGAAATCTGCGTAAAACTATTTCAAGATAATCTACAATAAGAATTTGTAAATAGATTTCTTTTAATTGTGTAAAAAAAAACGGTTAGCTAGCTCCTAGATATTTTAAAATCTGACCGTTATTGGTTTGCGCAGTATTCAGCTAAAAATATACATTAAGAATAATATAGTGTAGGCCTACTTTGCGCTGCCTGGTTTTTGGGAATTTATTAAAATTTTTTATTAAACTTAATGGCATTCTTAGTGAACAAAAAAATGTTATTTTGATCATAATGATGGGAATACAATTTTACCTGATGTCGGACCATTTACATCATATGAAGAGTGACTGCTTTAATGTATACATCTCTAAACAAAATAATATACTGATCAAATTTCGGTTTAGAAAATTTACATTTCCCTCAATTATGTTTACGA